CTTCTTCCCATTTCAGAGTGACTTGGTGCTGCCAGTTCCTAAGTCTTTTGAAGATTCAGAGTATAAAATGGGTTAGTTCTTAGTTTGCACTGTCTGCCTGGGATTGTTTTCTTGAGTCTGCAAGGTCATTTACTACTTATCTCCTTTCCAGTATCTAGAATTTTGTTGCTCTTGTCACCTCTTCTGTTTCCCATCGTTAATTTTCCTGTAAGGGCTTCTTATATATTTGTCATTTTGCAGATGTTCCTCTTCTCCAGTCTTTTCTGCTTTCTTAACTGTGTTTAAAAAATATTTACATTTATTTCTCTTTTGTAGATGTTATTGTTGACAGATATTTCTTTTATATCACATTATTTTTTTAGTTCTTTTTTTTTCTGACTGAAATTTGATTTTTGCTGAAGTATTAAAAATTTTCCTAGAAACAGGGCATATGTAGTATATCCTCTGAATCTTTGCATATCTAAAATTGTGTTTTTCCCTCTCATATGAGAGTTTTCCTGGGTATAGAATTAATTCTTGGGTTAATTATTTTCCCTCAGAACTCTATAAATGTTATTTCATTGTCTTCTAGTGTTTCGAATTGTGAGTAAAATGTCTTATTAATATTGATGTTGGTGCTGTGAATATCTTTTTAGGTAATTCCCACTCCACCGTTTTTTGGTAAAATTTCATTTTTACCTTTAAATTCAAACATTTTACTAGGATAAGTTTAGATACTGAGTTTTATATTTTCCCACTAATAATCTTGCCTGGCATTTTGGGGAGCCTTTGGTTTTGAAAATTCAAGGCTTTAAAAAAAAAAAAGCAACAACTCCATGTAATTTTTTTCTCCTATTTTCAAAACCATTATTTCTCCCCCATCTACTTTGTTCTCTCTTTCATGGCAGTATGTTTTATTTTTGTTTTTTGTTTTTCTCAGTATACTAGCTCAGGTCTTAGTGAGATTGCCAATCACTACTTGATTTTTTTTTTTTTTAATCTTTCTCCGTTTTCCTCCAGTAACTTTCATTGTAGTTATTGGTTTTCACTGCTGGCTGAGAGAATGGGTGAGAGGTTTCTCTGAGTGTTCAGATTATTTTCCGTTTTTTGAGCTGCTGCATGCAGTGATGTTTCTGCCTGCTTATCTTTTTTGATGGCATTGGGAGTTGAGATGTATTGTTGGAGAATAAACCAAGATTTTCTTAGTTGGTTAGATGAAGTGGGGAAAGTTAATGTAATTTTCTTCTGACAGCTTAGAGTTAGTAATTTACTTACATTGAGAAAGGGCAGCACTCTTAAACAGAGCAAGATGGCCATGGATTTAGGAAGATGTATCTTTGTTCAGAAATGATGTCTTCTTTACATCTCTCCTGACAGCTGGTGCTAGCAACCCCCAACTGTGTCTGGTCTCTGGACCCAGCTCAAAGCCCTGGATTCATTCTCTTCCCATACCTCAGCCTGAGCCTTCTGTCACCCCAAAGGGCTTCACACAAGCTTCCTCTCAAGCCCTCACTTCTCTCACAAGGTATGTTTAGGAGAGGGAGTGGGTGGGCTTGTTACTTTTTTACTTAGGGCATAATAGATAGATACTCATTGAATATTGGTTGAATGAATGTCCCCTAGTGTGCTTCCTCTTTAAAAGTGGTGCTTTAAAAGTGCTGCTTGATCAGCATTTGTTTTCACTCTTCTCTCTCTGGACCTTTTCTTTCCAAACACCTTGTGGCATAGGTGTGGAATGTGTTTTAGTTTCTTGCCATTTTGTAGGATTTTTTAAGATTATATTTTTTGGTTTGTGTTTCAGTTGGGAGAGGGAGAAAATCAAATGGCTTGAGTTGCTATCTTGATGCAGCAAACTCTGGGTTACTTTAAAGGGCCAGTCATACTTTAAACAAATAGTATTATTTTAAGGCTTGATGAGATGTTGTTCAAGTCTTATGAGATAATAATACATATATGTAAGGCAGTAATTTAAGTAGGAGATTTAAAATCAGTAATCCTTGTTGGTGGGGTGTAGAGATTGGTCTGTAGTGAAAAGAGCATTAGCTAATAGGTTGGAAGATTAAAATTATAATAAAATTTCTTTTTTTTTTTTTAATGGAACACATTTTTTTCCCGCCCATAGATGGCAACCGTAGTATAATTTGCTACCAGGTGTCATCTTTGATTGCTTCCACATTAAACAGGTTGAAAAAAATAAAACACATTCTCCAAACTTAAAATTTGAGGGCAAATAAACCCCAAAATACCTAAAATGCACAAACTCTCTTAAAGCTACATTATACATGCCATACATTAAATATAAAAAATAATGACATTCAACATCAGTTAATTAGCAGTTATCAGACTTAAGTAAAAGCTAAGTGGATTTCTTAATGAGCTGGTCCCTTTTTTCAGCATTGTTCTTTTTTTGTTGTTGTTGTACGCGGGCCTCTCACTGTTGTGGCCTCTCCCACTGCGGAGCAACAGGCTCTGGACGCGCAGGCTCAGCGGCCATGGCTCACGGGCCCAGCCACTCCATGGCATGCGGGATCCTCCTGGACCAGGGCACGAACCCGTGTCCCCTGCATCAGCAGGCGGACTCCCAACCACTGCGCCACCAGGGAAGCCCTAGGGACCATGTTTTTGCATCTCTCCATAGCACTCATCAAAATGCAACACATTTATAGTAGGTATTTTTTTAGTAAGTATTAGTTGATGGAGTTATTTAAATCACACTGGTTGTCAAACTTTGGGATATGTGTTTTCTTCTAAGAAAAATTTTAAATTATATAGGTATTTTGAAATGAAGTTGATGATATTTAGAAATATTATCAAAATATGTAATTTTTTAGCATTACACATTTTTGGAAACATAATATTACTATAAGAAGCAATTTGCCTTTTGTAATGAAACCTATGATACAGACTCCTCTTGATTATATATAGAAATACAAAAGCTTGGGTATGGATAGTCTGGAGTGACCACAATATGGTATCCAAATGTGGAAGAATCATTACTTGATGTGCTTTAAAAGTTTCACATATTTGAACCCCACCCTCAGATTCTGGTATGGTGAAAACTCCATAGATGACCATGATGCTTGTCACTGTTGAGAATGTGATACTCTGTAGAGAATCTTCTCAGTTGGTGTGAAGTATCCACCAGGTATCATTGAACTTTTTTCCAGCCATTTATTATTATTCTTACTTTTGAAGAAAAAGTCTTTACATTTAGCTTTAAATAATATAGTAAAAATTTTAATATTTTTTTTACTGTATTAGGCATGGTATGTAAAAAAATTTTTTTTCAGTAAACTCATACCCTTCTAATGAATTCATTTTCAAGTTAGCATATATATATTTGAAAAATATTGGTGTTTTTTAGACCCAACCAAAAGTTTTAAGTTTGAGAAATATTCAAAGGGCCTCTTAGTAGTAATGTAAAGTAATTTAACTTTTATTAATTATATTCCCTCAGAAAGGATTTTTGAAACAGTGAAGTTCTTAGTTACTTAGATTAATTGAAATTTAGAGGTGAGACCTTTGGATAGACATGGATGAAGCTTAATGTGACTTACACTTTATTTTTTTAGCTTACCTAATTATATCTATTAGTCATATACATATTTAAGACCATGGAAGTAAGAAAATGTAGTACTGCTTGATATATTTACTACTGAACCTTCAGTAGTCAGATTCCATTCTCAGCAATATATTGTCACATCCTTTTTTTTTTTTTTGGCCGTGCTGTGTGGCATGTAGGATCCTAGTTCCCCAACTAGGGATCAGACCTGCATCCCCTGCAGTGGAAGCACGGAGTCTTAACCACTGGACAGCCAGGGAAGTCCCTGTCACATCTTTTTAACTCTACTGTTTTCTATTCCTCTGCATCTTGAATCATAATGTCTCATACATGGTGATCACATACAGTAATGGTGGTAGCTACAGTTTATATAGTACTTTACAGGATTCTGTTACTTATGTGTCCTCATTTAATCTTTACAACAACGCTGTGAAAGAGGTAGGGGAAATAATCATTTTCTTTTTTCATTTTATAGATGAAGAAACTAAAACACAGAGATTGAGACTTGTCTAGAGTAACACAAACCAGTAAGTGTTTGAATTAATGGAGGCAGCTAGTAATGGGTACATTCTAATCTGCCAAGGGCTTGCCTTGCTGCCACCTGACTTAGTTCTAGGGACAAAAAAAGCCAAAATGGTAGGGAATCAGAAGTAGTAGCTAGACTTAGGAGGACCCCAGGGAAATGTGTTACTCCTTTTAATTTCTTCTTTTTTTTTTTACCAGTTATTAATGCTAACTTGAGACAGCAGGCAATGTCTTTTTGTTATTGTTGTTTAGGTGAATGAAACTTTTATTTTAAACGTAAATTATCCCTGAGGCACTAGGGAAGTAGAAAATCTGCAGAGAAGTCTGTTGAAATTCTCACAGGGTAATAGCTATAGGGTCAACTAAGTAATTGAGAAAGTTAATGGTATATATGTATAATTGGAACCATGTGTGTCAGTGGAACTTAAGTTTATAGGGCTCTCTTGTTGAGATTTTTAAAATCCTGTTTAAAAACTGTAGTGTCAACTTTATATAAAATCTTAGAGCTTAAAGGTGCTTATCCAATTGTGGTTTTCTTTAGATGAGGAAACTGAGGTGCAGAGAAGTCAAACCTTACCCAGTGTTACAGAGCAGAGCTGGAAGTAAAGCTTGTATTTCCTGAGATCCAGATTAGTGTCATTTCTACTTCAGACTATTACTTCTTGGTAAGCTGTTCTTAAAATACTTAATAGGTCTTTTATGTCTTTTGTTTGATCAACATTCTTGCTTTGTGTCAAAATGAACTTAAAATATGAATTTTACTGATACTTCTGTGATGAAAATTTCAGTTCTTTGTTTGATTTTAGGTGAGTTAATGTGGGAAAAATCCTGGTATTTTGAAGATGTCTCGGCACAGTATTGTTTCCTGTTCAAATTACAAGTAACTTCAAGAGTTTGCAGGAAAAAAAGAAATTGGGATTTTTTTGGTTAAATCATGCCATCTGAACAGAAACATTTATTTTTTGATGAAAAACAGCATACTTTAAAAAGAGATTATGATGTGAAAAATGAGAGAGTTGATACTATCAGATCAGTACTTAAACCAAAAATTTCAGAAAGTAGTTTTCATTATGAACTAAAAAATGTGAAAATTGTTTTGCCGAAGATAAATATTCCAAATGAGGTCCTATTGAAACATGAAGTTGACAAATACAGAAAATTATTTCAGCATAAACCACAGACTGCAAGAAAATCTATCGGTATAAAGACTGTAAGCTGTGTAGAGGAGTGTATGTTACTCCATAAGTCTGAGAGAGTTGAAGAGGAAGGTATAAAAATGTCTGCAAAAATACTCAACTTCAACTGTTTGAAGTGCCGAGATAGTACTCGGTATAGCCCAAATGATTTGCAGAAACACTTCCAAATGTGGCACCGTGGTGAATTACCTTCATATCCTTGTGAAATGTGCAGTTTTTCAGCAAATGACTTTCAGGTATTCAAACAACATAGACGAACCCATAGAATTACTTTAGTAAAATGTGACATTTGTAACAATGAGAATTTATATACTTTATTAGACTTGACAAAGCATTTTTCATCCACACATTGTGTAAATGGTAATTTTCAATGTGAAAAGTGTGAATTCTCCACCCAGGATGTTGGCACATTTGTTCAGCACATACATAGACATAACGAAATCCTTTATAGATGTGGTAAATGCCATTATATATGTTTAACCAAAGGAGAGCTTCAGAAGCACCTTCATATTCATTCTGGTACATTTCCCTTCACTTGTCAATATTGTAGCTATGGTGCTACCAGGAGAGAGCACCTTGTAAGACATGTTATAACTTTGCACAAAGAACATTTATATGCGAAAGAAAAACTGGAAAAAGACAAATATGAAAAAAGGATGGCAAAGACTTCAGCAGGACTTAAACTAATTTTGAAAAGATATAAAATAGGTGCATCAAGGAAGACATTCTGGAAACGTAAGAAAATCAACAATGGAAGTGACAGAAGTATAGAAAAAAACACTCAAGTGCTTAAAAAAGTGAACAAAACACAGGCTAAATCTGAAGACCAGAGCCATCTTGTTCAGGAACATTTAAATGAAGAAAAGGATGAAAGACTATACTGTGAGAATAATGATAAACCTGCTGAGTCAGAGTCAGAAAAACCAACTCTTCTGTCCACCGGGCAATGTAATGGAGCTGAAGAGGGATCAAATTCTACTTCAGGTTTCCTGAAGACTGCTGTACAAGGACCTACAGTATTAATGGTAAAAAATAATAGAATAACAATTCCTGCTAACTACAGTGCTAAGTTTATGGGCTTTAAGATGGTGGATGGAAAACAACATATTGTAATAAAACTGTTGCCTACCAATAAACAGAATTTATATTCACCAGGCTCACAGTCAGGTGCTGTAAGGGACAGTACTGCAATTTTGCAGCCCCAGACTTTGGACACTACTGCATTTTTAACAGGAGTAACAACTGAGTTAAATGACACAGTTTACATGAAAGCAGCTACTCCATTTTCATCTTCATCTCCTATACTTTCAGGGAAGGTAACTTCAGAAAAAGAAATGGCTTTGCTATCTCAAACAAGTAATATGCTTCCAACAATGGATGATGGAAAAAGTGTTTCTCCTTTGCCAATAACATCAGAATTGATCACAGCATCGGTGAATTTGACCACAAAAGTAGAAATAAGAGAGAATGTTGACTTATGGGGAAGTCATATTACTCAGTGTCACCCTGAGGTATCAGGTACTGCCATTAAAAGTCAAGATAAAGTCACCTGTACTACCAAACCAAATTCATACAACAGTGGAGATATGCATAACTATTGCATTAATTATGTCAACTCTGAGTTACCTGTTGAATCTTCCAACCAAGGATCATTACCTTTTCATAATTACTCAAAAGTGAATAATTCTAATAAACGTCATAGGTTTTCAGGGACAGCAGTGTGTGAAAACCCTCAAAGAGAATCTTCATCAAGCAAGACAGTAGTTCAACAACCAATAAGTGAGTCAGTTTTATCACTAGTGAGGAAGGAGAGCTCAAACCCAGATAGCCTGTTAGCATCTATTAGTCGTTTAAATACTAAAGATGGAACTTTAAAAACACAAGCTGAAATTGAAGAACAGTGTGTTTTAGAAAAAGGACAAAACATTGATGGGCAGAACCTGTACACTAATGAAAATCAGAATTTAGAGAGCATGACTGAAAAGCCTAAATGGGATGACGTTTCTAGTGTTGAGTCACCTATGATGCCTAGAATTACATCTGTTTTCTCTCTCCAGAGCCAACAGGCATCAGAACTTTTGCCACCTGAAATAAACCAGTTACTTCAAGATGTATTAAAAGCAAAACCTGATGTAAAACAAGACTCTAGTAACACTCCAGATAAAGACCTGCCGCTTCATTGTGACCAGTCATTTCAGAAACATGAGGGAGAAGACAAAATAGTTGAATCTTCAAAAGACTTGAAAGTACAAGGCTTCTTTCCAATTCCATCTGGTAATATGGGGATTAATGTGGCTACAAATTATCTGAATTTAAAATTTAGTGGAAAAGAAAAACAAATGTTGTCAATGTCACAAGATGTGAGAGATTCAGAGAAGACCCCTAGAATTTCTGGTTTTGGCACATTACTTAAGACTCAGTCAGATGCAATAATTACACAGCAGCTTGTAAAAGACAAACTACGAGCCACTACGCAAAATGTTGGTTCTTTATATGTGCAGAGTCCACTTGTAAATTCAGAACCAAAAAAGGCTATCTTTGTTCAGACTCCAAAAGGCTTTTTTGTACCATTGCACGTTGCTAACAAGCCTGCATTACACGTTTCAGGAAGACCACTTCCATTGGTTAATACACAAGGTGTCCCTGCCTCTCTCCTTTTAAACAAGAAACCTGGGATGATTTTAACATTTAATAATGGGAAACTTGAAGGTGTTTCTGCTGTCAAAACTGAGAATGCTCAAGCTTGTGGAACTGCAAGTAAGGAGCCTTGCAGAACACCTTTTTTAAAAGTAGAACCGAACAGTAATTGTCTAACCCCTGCACTTTGTTCCAGCATTGGCAGCTGTTTGAGCATGAAAAGTAGCTCAGAAAATACTTTGTCATTAAAAGGACCTTACATTATTAAAACGCCAGCAAGTTCTTCAGTGAAAGGTGTTCCTGCTCCTAATATAATATCTGAGCATCAGGGCACTAAGTTGAATATCTCGGATTCAGTAAAACAGCAGAACAAGATTTTTCCAAAACCACCGCTTTACACCGTTTTGCCTGATGGCAAACAAGCTGTTTTTTTAAAGTGTGTGATGCCAAATAAGACTGAGCTGCTTAAGTCTAAATTAGTCCAGAATAGTACTTATTATAAAAATATACAGCCAAAGAAACCTGAAGGAACACCACAAAAAATATTGCTGAAAATTTTTAACCCTGTTTTAAATGTGACTGCTGCTAATAATCTGTCAGTAAGCAACTCTGCATCCTCGTTGCAGAAAGACAATGTACCATCTAATCAGACTATAGGAGGAGAGCAGAAAGAGCCAGAATCTTCTAGAGATGCCTTACCCTTATTACTAGATGATATGATGCCAGCAAATGAAATTGTGATAACTTCTACTGCAACATGCCCAGAATCTTCTGAGGAACCAATAGGTATTACTGACCATTCAGAGGCCAGGGTATTAAGGTGTAAAACAAATTGTACAATTGAGAGAAACTTCAATAAGAAAAAGACTTCGCAAAAGAAATGTTCAAGAATAAAAACTCATGAAAGAAGTAAAGATTCTGAAACTTCCTTTGTATCTAGAAACAGAAACTGTAAACGCAAGTGTAGGGATAGTTACCAAGAACCTCCAAGAAAAAAAGCATTACACAGAAAGTGTAAAGAAAAAGCAAAGCCTGAAGATGTCCATGAATCATTCGGATTCAGCAGACCTAGGCTTTCAAAAGATTCAGTCAGAACTTTGCGGCTTTTCCCCTTCAGTTCCAAACAGCTTGTGAAATGTCCTAGGAGAAACCAACCAGTTGTAGTTTTGAATCATCCTGATGCAGATGCCCCAGAAGTAGTAAATGTAATGAAAACTATTGCTAAATTTAATGGACGTGTACTTAAGGTTTCGTTGTCAAAAAGAACTATCAGTGCTTTACTGAAACCAGTTTGTTATAACCCTTCTAAAACAACTTACGATGATTTTCCCAAGAGGCACAAAACATTTAAACCTGTTAGTTCTGTGAAAGAAAGATTTGTGCTAAAATTAACTCTCAAAAAGACAAGCAAAAACAATTACCAGATTGTGAAAACTACCTCTGAAAATGTTCTGAAGGCTAAATTTAACTGTTGGTTTTGTGGTAGAGTATTTGACAATCAGGATGCTTGGGCTGGTCATGGTCAGAGACATTTAATGGAAGCTACTCGTGATTGGAACATGTTAGAATAATTTACTGTAATTACCAAGGAAAAGTAAAAGTACCTTAGAAGAAAATAGTGGGTTGAATTACTAATGCAGACATTTTTTACTTCAATATAGTACCTGAAGTTAAACATTTAAAAGTTGGCTATATTTCCATGGAAGAGCAAAAGTTTTAGTGTGATATTTGAAAATGCTGTCAGTGCACATGTAAGTTTTGAAAGAAACTAATCACAGATATACCTTGATTTAATTTTTTAAAATGTGTTCTTGGGAAGTTAGGGCTAAAAATTTTGATAAAAGTTTGGCGAGTTTAGTGACTCAGTAGAGAGTAACAGGTGACAGCCCCATTCCCTCTCTTCTTCCACCAGCCTTATGATTCTGATAACTGTAGCTCCCCTGAAGAGGTTGAGAGCTCTTTCATTATGGAACTGAAGGAGTTGCTCATCATTTGTGAAGATACTCTAAGAGAACTTGGGTAAAGAACTTACTCTACATCTGCAAAATGTAGTTCTTTTGAAGGTAGTTAAGCTCCTTTGAGGGTACATTTAACTCACTACAGTTACACCACATATGATGGTTGATAAGAGTTTTTGACAAGCAGATCTTTTTTCCTTATAAGCTGTATTACATGTCATTGATTGGAACACCCTTTCAAGGTGATTTTCTTTTTCTAAATGGCTCTCAAGCATTGCAGTAGATGGGCAATCTCGAGAGAAGAATTAAACTCTCTTTGTCTAGTTTGAAGTTCATTTAAAGAACTTGAACATTTTTCTGAATTTGGTTATACTCCCCAGTGATTCCCTTGCACAGAACTATGTTTATTTGACTTAAATTGTTTGTCCCCTCGTAAACCAAGTGGCCGATTTTTTTCTTGGTTGCCATCCCTTTAAAAAGAGTGAAACATAGAAGCACTTCCAAGGGAATGACTTTTCTTAAAAATTAAAAATTATTCCTCAGAAACAATATTTTGAAGTAAGATTAGCAAAGCAAATCATACTTTTGTGTTTATTATTAGTGTCTGAACATGTCCACATTGGGACAAACCATTTTTGTTAGCAACTTCTCAGTATGACTGACAACCCAAAGCAGATTACTGATTGTTTGCAGTTGGAAATTGAAGAAGCATTAATAGTGGACTCAGTGACAGTGCATAACACTTCAGGACAGATTCCGAAGGGATATGCCCAACAGGTAGAGTTTTAAAATGAATATTTTCGTGACAACAGAATCATCAATTTAAACTTCCCACTTTGTAAGTTTGGATCAAATTTTGTTGGACCATTGGACAATGGAGTTCTTGTATTAAAAAATTACATACTATATAATTTTTGTTACATTGTTACTACTAGTGTTATGACATTTTCATTGATTGAAAACTTCAGGGCTCCTTTTCTGTATATAACAAAGAATTTAAAACCTGTACATATTTTTGTACCTTTCAGTTATGTAAATTTTGCACAGAAAGTTTTTGACATAAAAAGTTTATTTTCTTTCAATTTAGTTCTGTGCATGCACTAATAAAACTTGTCGTTTAATTTAAAAGGAATATGTAAGACTTTACCCATGTTATTTTTTTGGTTTTCATTTCAGATGTATAATTTCTTTTTTTTGATAAATTCAGTTTTCAGGGATTGAACACTATTGTTAGCAAGTGCCTAAAAGATGTGAAACAGTTTACATACGTCAACTGTAACATTAGGTCCCAAATGGGCCCACTCCCCCAATAATTTTATTTTAAAGAAAGCCATACATAGATGCTTCAAGCTATCTTGCTATGCACATTATACATGTACTGTTTTTGTGCAGTTTGTCTACTTTCTTAGAAGTGAAGTATTTTTTGTATAAAACCTGTTACAATTGTGTTTCTTAAATTGAGCCTAAGAACGGAATTGATTGGAAATATATGGTATATATTAATAATGTATATGGTGTTTAAAGAATGGTAAGCATTGTTAATTTCTGTAACGAATGTCTTCAATTAAATTTATCTTAAGTTTGTGTTTACATAATTTTTTTTTACTATGATGAAGTCAAATGGGAATTCTAGTGGGAAATACTTAGTTTTCAAAGCTTTTTTTTTTTTTTTTTTAATGCTAGTGAATGTAAAATGAAGTTTGGGATATTTTTCCCCAAAAAATTATAGGTGAAATTTTGAGATTTTGTTTGAGAAGGGTAACATATATTATAATTTAACTATGCTGGTAAGAAAAGCCACAGAGAGGCTTATGTTCTTTAGTACCTAATGGCAGTAAAACTGAAATGTTGCTCTGTTATGGTTAGATCTATTATGATGCATCACCTTCTGTGAAGAGAGAGAAGGAACTGTCTTGCCAATGTTTGCAGCACTATAAAAATACATTTCAGAATAGCCATACCAGTAAAAAAAAAAAATCTAATGTCAAGATACATACTTTTTGCCTTAAGGTTTTAAAAGCTATTTTAAAAAGCTTTATGCCCCAGATACTCTAGTTGATACCTTTTATGAGTTTTTTTTGTTTTGTTTTGTTTTTTAAACTAGGTTATTCTGAAGGAGGAAAGCCTGCTTGGAGCCTCTTTATTGCCAGAGCAGAAAGTCTGAAAATAAAACCCTCTATCCTTTCTTTCCTTCTGGCTGAAAGTTAGCTAAAGATGGCTTTCCAAAATATGATATTCATTAGTTTGAAGTTCTTATTACAACTGGAAGAGTTAGTGTTATTTTTGCAATCCAACTTCTGGGTCAGGAGATTTTCATTTTTTCCTATTTGTCCTTCTGCACTGAAATGGGCCTCACTATTTGTCATTCACTTAAAATAATAGTTCAACTTTCAGAGTTTGAAATATAATTTCAATACTAACCATTCAGCACAGATTGAATTGTAATAGTTTTTTATAAAAATTTTTGTTTTCATTAAGGAGTCAGGTATTTCAGTAAAGGGTCAGACAAATAACTTAGCCTTTGTAGGCCATTAGTCTCTGTCGTTAACTACTTTGTCACAATGCAGAAGCAGCCATAGATGACACATGAATGAGTTTGCCTGTATTTTAATAAAACTTTGTTAAAAAAAAAACTGTCAGTGGGCCAAATTTGGCCCAGCAAATGGTTTACCAACCCTTGCTTTCTCTCAAAGATCGGTTTTTAGATTGAGATTTTTATTCAAAACAGAAGTTTGATATAGTTTTTTTTTGTGATATACACCAGCTATATAAAAGTTACAAAGTATAAAAACTAAAATGTATGTATATACAGTTAACCAAGGTAGATGTATTTGTTTAAAAGTGAAGTGAATGTAAAGGTAATGAAAATAATTAGTGGGTGAAGTAGATAGGTCTTTTGTGTGCTAAGGGTAATGCAATTTATGGAGAGATTAAAAATGAGATCAGTTGCTGTGAGAATTTATGTCCAGGTTAGATGAGAAATAGATACTAGTTCTTTTAGTGACTTGAAATCACTGGTGAGAAAAAGTAATAGGAATTCTTTAGGATGGGGGAGAAATGGAGGTTAGCTGAAAAGAGAATGTATTAATTCCATGCAACTCACTTCAGATTTTTTCTTTTTAGTAAGATTCCTTTGCACCATTGACATCTGCTTACTTAGGATATGTCCCATTTGTGTTGAGGTGTTGGCTCTGTTCCTTGTCACAGCAATTTGTTACAATCTTTGTTTTCAGCAAAGTGCCTTGGGGATCTCACCTGGTAAAACTTGCTGGGGGATGTTAGTTAAGAGCGCAGTATTTGCAAAAGAATTTCCCTATAATGGAGAGCTGAAATAGGATCAGCTTGGTTGATTTGGGTATTCATTGTTTTAAGTATGCTTCCTTTAATAACTAGACAAAAAGTAGCCAATATCTTGGAAGAGGTGTTTGATAATCTTATTTGAATTACTTTTTGACTATTTCTCTGTCTAAAATGGCTTCTGTTAATAAATGCCCCAAGTTTAAGAATCTTTTTTCTTTAAAAAGTGAACATCATAAATTATCATAGTGTAAACTTGAGTAATGTAGGAGGAATGTTAATGTACATCAATTTTGAAAATCATGATTTTAGTCAATGCCAAGAATGTACTTATAAAAAATACTAATGCCTAGTAGAGACATTTTTAATATGTTAAAAGAAGAATTCTTCCTTAATACTTTAGAGTCCTTCAACCAAAAGTGAAGGTTATATTCAGGTTGCAACTCAAACTGCCTCTTTCAATTAAGTAGTGAAACATAGGTGCCTACTGTTATCAGTTATTTCATAAGTTATTGCTATTGTTATTGTAGGAAAGCAAAATGAAAACTTGGAGAGAGACCAAAATACTATTTGCAAATGACTTTATTTCAGTATTTTGAAAATCCAAGAGAGTACGTTGAGAAATAGTTTTCTGAACACTTAAGAGTAATCATTTGGGAGGCAATAAAGAAGACCCATTTATAATAAGAGGCACAAAGTAAAAATTGTGTGAAGCTTCTAAAAGAAAAACCACAGAACCTAACTGGGAGAAATGCAGTGTTTCTGGGTGTAAGATTAAATATACTGCTGTTCAGAAGATCTCGTTTTCCATGCCTGTGCCCCACAGAAGGCTTGTATTGAATAAGGTGGTGGCAGCTGGGTAGTGGTGCCCATTGCCCCATTCCTAATTCATGCAGTATAAAAATCAGGACAGGGCAGCTACAGAACTGTGCAGTCCCCCTTTCCCTCACAGCTCTGTTATAAGAGACTTAACCTGCTCTGGTTGGTTTGGCAGTCATGTGGCAGCATACATCTCTCCCAGCTTTCTTGGGGCAGGAGAGCTATTGTATGTACATTCAGCAGCTGGTGAACCTTGGCACATTCTAGTCTCCTCCTATGCCTTCCCCAGCCACCAACACAGCTGTTCCACAGGGAGTGTTCAGGGAGCATTCAATGTAGACCCAGTTTCCCAACATTCCCCCACCCCACAACCTGCTCCATAGCACAGAGGCACAGGGGTCCTGTTCAGGGGAGGGTTGGAGTGAGCTTCAAAGATTTGGTAAACATGCTGTCTGTTACAAGGGGCCTGACTTTATCTGGATCAGACTGGAGCAATT